TAAAACAAATTAAGACAATATCAGATTATTCTTTTTCTTTAACAGGTGTACAATCAATAGTTATATTTGTTCTATTGTTACCAATTCATATTTATAAAAACAAATTAAAACAACATCATATTATTTTGTATTCTTTAACTGATACACAATTAATTGTTATATTTGTTCCCTTGTTATCAGTTCATATATATATAGTCATAAATTAAAACAACATTATATTAATTTGTTGTCTAACAAGTTATTGATTAACAGTAATACTTGTTTTAATTCTACTAATTCGTATTTCCACAAACAAATTAAGACAACATCATATTATTTTGTTTTATCTAACAGGTATACAATTAATATCCCATTGGCGCATAAGTTCTGAGAGTTTCGATCAGTAGAATAATATCGCCAATATAAAACTACATTTTAAGGAAAGTAATTATACATTCTGATAGCGCTCGGAATTCTCTATCACCTTCTGTATGTAAGTCTTGACTTACATTTATTTGCTGAAAAATATTTTGAATACAGTAAAGACATCCTCACCCGGATTGGCAATGTTCGAAATATTTCTCAGCAAATAAGTTCAGGTGAAGACCTAAATACACAGGGTGATAGAGCATTTCAAGAGCTCTCAGAATACATAATTACTTTTCTAAAAAGACGGATTACTGTATAGATAAAAATTTTAAAAACACACGAGAAAAGAACAAAATATGAAATTCGTGGGAATCTGAGAGCGAGAGTGTCTTCACTGTACTCAAAGTATTTTTCAGCAAATAGATGTAAGTCAAGACTTAAATACATAAAGTGATAGAGAATTCCTAGCGCTATCAGAATATATAATTACTTTCCTTAAAATGTAGTTTTATATTGGCGATATTATTCTACTGATCGAAACTCAGAACTTATGCGCCAATGGGATAGTAATACTTGCTTTATTATTACCAGCTTATATTTATAAAAACAAATTGAAAGATCATATTATTTTTTTCCTTTAGCAGGTTTTCAACCAATTGTTATTTTTATTTTGTTATTATGAATTCATATTTTATATAAAAGAAACTAAAAAGAATATTATATTATTGTTTGTTTAATAGCTATACGATTAATAATTATACTTATTATAGTGTTACTGGTTCATATTTATAAAAAGCAAATTGAAACATTATGAATCCATCACTTACTAAGAACGACATTTTAAGATTAATAAAACAACGTGATAAGTCAATTGTATTTCGTAAACCGAAGAAATCTTCAAAATCATCTCCAGTATGGGAACATTTTTGTATTATTGTTGTAAATGATATTGAACAAGAATTTGTTTGTTGTGATCACTGCAAAGAGTTGTTAGTTTATCGTCAACGTGATGGTACAACGTCTATGACAAAACATAAACGTTCATGTCATGCTAGTTTAACAAGTTCAAGTAGCTGTTCAGATGGTCAATTAACAGTTACAGAATATTTTACATCGTCCAAAAGTCCTAATGTATCAAAAAGAATTAAAGATAAAATCAAATTGGCTTGTACTGAATTTACGGCATTAGATTGCCGACCTTTTGAATTAGTTACTGGTGAAGGATTTTTAAAAATGGCACAAAGTATATTTGATGCTGGGCGATGTTTTAGTCATTTATCAAACATCAATGTTAAAGAGTTAATTCCATCTCCAATTACAGTAGGGGAACCTATTTCTTGTTACGTGGATCAATTTTTATTTTTTGTTTATGTTTTTTGTGTTAGATTAGCCGCAATATAGATCATTTATATGAAGAGAAGAAAGTTGATTTATTAAACTTATGTTCCCGTATGAGAAGTTATTGTATTATATGTGATTTTTGGACAGAAAAATTTACTGGTGAGTCGTCGTTTTAAGTCTTCTGTACGACAAAAGAAATACGAACAATCTGATTATCATTAATCATTTCGGAAGAAAATTAATGCAAATACAAGTCTTTTAATTCTATATAGATAAGATTTCAAGATTTTGAGACAAGTGTGGTTCGAAATGCAATTCTTTTTTCATTGATTGTTGTTAATGAACATAATCAATCTTTTATTATCTATGGGATTTGTTCCAATATATGGAAATTTGCTTGAAATATTATTTCAAATTAATGTCTTTAAACCTAAAACACTATTTTTGATAATTATGAACATGCGTTGTCCTCAGCTCTCAATGAAAATTGATTGAATTTTTCAATATTAGTTTTTAGATAGATCATTGACTTTATCTAAAATTTGTTTAACAATAATTAGCTTGAGATGAAAAAAAATATACGGTTTTTAAAGTCTTTGTTTCTTATTAATTTTTTAAGGCTTTTTAATTTTTTTTCAAAGCATTAAGTATTTTATTTTGTTTTAATTATTTATTATGGCATTTGTTTAGGCCTTTCTTATTGTGGTTTGGCATTACGTCATGTTACAAAAGATTTTAAATTACTAAACTATATTCTTGGATGCTTTTTATTTGATTCAGAATCACAGTCAGCTAGCAATATTCGTGCATTTGTTGATTCACAATTATTATCATTTGGATTGGTTTTAAATAGTAACATTTTTGTTGTCACAGACAACGAGAACAAAATGCGAGCTGCATTTAAAGAACAATGTATTCGTGTAGGATGTAGTATTCATTTCGTAAACAAACAATTAGAACATTCATTTACATCACTTGAAATTGATAAACAACCTGTTAACTGTGATAAAGCACAATGTCTTTTTGGTCATACGAAACGAATTGTTACACATGTGCGTCGATCACATCGACAAATAAAGCTAAAAAGAAAATTACAGTTATATTCGAATACACGCTTTAATTGTGCATTTTATATGTTAGGAGTATTTTTTGATGTTTATGATGAATTACCTGGTGTTATAAATAAAAATTTAATAGATTCTTTAGCTGCTATTGACAAAGATTTATTAGAAGAATTATGTGTTTTTTTGAAACTTTTCGATCAAGCTATTATTCAATTAAGTGATGAAGATAAACCAACTATACATCAAGTTATTCCAATTCGACAGTTATTAATCAATCATTGTGAAGTTAAATATGATGATAGTGATGGACTTAAGGCAATCAAATATTTTCTTGGTAAGTGAGCATTAAGAAATATTAACTAGATGGTTAACTTCAAGCTAAGTTTTTGTTTTGAAAAATCTTGATAAACCTTAGAGTTGTTGACATCAAAAAATTTATTTTGCAAAAAAGTTTAGTTTATAGTTTTTGATCGTAAACGTCGATCTTGCGAAAGAGATTTCGATTCAAATATTGACATTGCTATTTTTTTAAGGTGAACGTATAAAATCAATATGGATTCCTCAAGATCAACATTATATGTCCACCTTACTTCATCCTTCGTTGAAACACTTTCATATAGCACCACATGAACAAAGTAAAGCAATTAAATTAGTCAAACAAGAATTGTTGAAACGTACATCAATACCAGTAGTTGTCGCTGCTACTGATTCAAAAACAGGAACTTCAACTACATCAAGCACATTTAATACATCAACACCTGTTCCTTCAAACGATTTGTTAGGTCGTTGTTTTGATCAACCTCAACCTGTTGTTAAACTAGCAAATGAATTAGATGATTATATGGCATTAGAAACACAACTTCATGAAACAGACGATGTGCTTTTATTCTGGAAAGAAAATGCTAAAACATTTCCTGTACTATCATCAATTGTACGTGATCTATTCGCAATACCTGCTTCTAATACAAGTGTTGAAAGGTTGTTTTCTTCATCAAAAAATACTGTTACTGATAGAAGAACTAGTCTAGCTGCTGAAAAAGTTAATAAATTGTTGTTCCTTCAAAAGAATCTCTTTTCCTTTGCACAAATAAATGAAGAAACACAGATGCAAAAACAAGAACAGTCGAAAAGAAAATTATCAACAGTCGATGATGAACAGATGTTAGTCTTCAAAAACAGAGAGGATTTAACTTCAACAACATCAATAAAAAAAATTAAGAAAACTGATAGCAGTGATTTTTCATCTGATGATAACGAAGATATTATGAACAATATCATAGAATGAAATGAAATATTGTTTGCTTTATATATTTATTAGGATTAAGAAATTTAGATATTATATTCAACAAGTTCTATTGTTTTTTTTTCTATTTTTTATAAGTTAATTTATAATTACTTTTTGAATAAAATGAACGACAACTCAAACATTAAAAAAAAGTCATTATTTGTATGAAATCACTTTTTGAACCCGGACTCGGTTATAACAAACTTTCGGACCCGGACCCGGACCCGATTATAAAAAATTTTCAGACCCGGATCCGGACCCGGACCCGATTATAAAAAATCTTCAGACCCGGACCGGACCCGTACCCGACCGGGTCCGGGTAGGGTCCGGGTCCTACCCGACGGGCTCTACTGCTGACGACTCTGCATTATGCATAGAAGTAAATATCTGATATCTTGACTAAAATCAGATATCAGCGATCAGAGATTTAGTGAAAATTGGTAATAATTTGAGATTTGGCATGACCTTCTTTACGGTGTCGAATTCAAGAAATCGCTAGAGCTTTACATTATATTGACATAGAAAAATTACTTTCACGAGGCAGTTCAAACTAGATCTCATTTTAAATGATGAATAGCACAAAGTACTATTTATCTGCTAAGGTTTGATGAATATGACCAATTATCAGTATGACGACCATCAGCTTTCTTTACGGCATGAAGATGAGACGGATATGAACATGATATAGTTTCAAATACCTGAATGTTTGTTTCCATGTTTGTCAAAATATCTAAAATATATTTTTTCAGAGTTTGTTCACAGTAACGATGGTGTTCTGTCTCTGATAGCATTTTGTTTCAATTTCATTTTTAATTATTGTTCCAATATTTCCGGACTAGGTGTCAAATACTTTGCGTTATTCATCATTTTAAACGAGATCTAGTTTGAACTGCCTCGTGAAAGTAATTTCTCTATGTCAATATGGTCTAAGACTCTAGCAATTTCTTGCAGTCGACACAGTAAAGTTGCCATATCCTTTACTATTTAGCATCGATAAATCCCATTTTCGACACGCTTTTATTTGGTATAAAACTTGTTATGAATGCTATTTGAAATTATAGCACTACTCCCATGAAAAAATATTTTTACCTACTTCGTAGATAAAGAAAACATCGAATAGGAACTTTTGTGAACTAAATAACGCCGCAATCAACCTAATTTTCAATGAACAATATTAAAAATAACATTCTCGAAGGGTGTGGGTGAGTTTTGATTGCCATCACACCCATGCTCCACATCCACACTAGTCCACATCCTCACACACATCCTACACCCACACCCTGTATGCAACTTCTAGCCCACACTAACACTCAATGCTCTTCAGTCCCGGACTTTCCGCCATGGTTTTACGCATTCCTATGCAACCAAAATTTTATCCTACAAACTTCCAATCGTTACTATGTGCTGAGAACCTTTTTTCCAACATGCTGACACATCAGTGCAAGCGCAGAAGATATTCGCGCTGATTATAGAATATTCCCGTTTTTCTACGCCTGTACACCATCTCTAACATGTTGCTGCGTCTTATAAAACATTTTCCCTTGACTGTTACGTATCGCAACTGGTCCAGACAGGCAAGACCCTAAAATTCAACCGGTTAAGATGATGTTATAGCGCGTTTTAGCAATCAACTACCTGAGAGTGTGGATGTGGGTGTCAGTGTGATCGTAAAGAAGATCCACACTCACACTCCAACTTGATGCAATTACTTCGCTCTCAGAAATATTACGTGATGCCCTATCAGATTTACAGGTAGTCTGAAGGCTTGCGCAATAGTTTTGACACGCCTATGAGCCATCTGTAGGTTTTCTGCTTCATCGAAGATACGGGCCGATCTATGGAGCATTTTCGATCATCCTCGCATAGATAGGCGGCATGAAACTTCGCAAGTTTAAGCTTACGAATCTTTCTGTACCCTCGCACTGTTCACCACAGCTCCATGACATATGCGTGAGTGGTCAGAAGTTGTTTTCCTGAGCCCTACGAAATAGATGGTTCGGTTGACACTTTTCCAATCAAGCCCACAGACAAGTGGGCGAACTAAAGGCTTTCGGATTCCATTTCACATATTCCTTAGTGATCTGAAAGTCTATATGGTTACCCAACAATATTCATTACTAGCCTAAAGCGCTTGAACACTGCCATGATACCTGCATTGATTCTCGAAAGCTTGCATGCCGTCACCCTAACACATTCTCTTGCGATCGGGAGGTTTTCTCATCATCCAGAGACATCAATCGAAATTCAGAAGAAATTTGTGCCCAACGGGATACACTGATCGTTTTCTTGAAATCTATTTACTATTCTGCTTACACGTTTTTCCATGATTCGAAAGATGTCGTCATTAAACAAAGATATTCTTCAGTGGCCTGAAGATTTTCACTGTAACTGACACATGTTCCCGTGAGGTCTGAGAATTTTCATTACCACCAAAACATCCTCATTGATATTTTGAAGACTTTAGCCGCTAGTGTAATGCATATATCTATTCTGTGTTACTTTTGCATATTCATCTTACCTATTTATGTGTGATCGAAAAGCTCTCGACATGACCCACAGATATTCCTCCAAGTCTATGACTGGGTTCTGAAGCTTGTCTATTTTCTCATGGATTTGCTCCAGCACTACTTTTTACCACCATCGGAAGATAGGTCGGTTCTCTGGATTTTTCCTGTATCTCTCACCAGTTTTTCTCTAAGTCGAAAGTTTTCACCATTACCTACGGGTTACCGGAAGATCGCCAATTCGGACTTTCGCCAATAGGACATTCGCCAATGGCGAAAGTACAGGGATGTGTTGGCGAAGGTACGGTGAACTTTCGCCAATTGACGAAATTCCAAGGTATGTATTGGTGAAAGTGCAGCGGACGTTCGCCAATTGACGAAAGTATAGTGGAGTTTTGTCAGCCGTCACAAAATAATATTAATACAGGATACATGTAAGGGCTAAAGCTAATACTGTTAGAATATATACTATAGCTTACGCTTAGAGTATATTCATATATGAGGGAGTCATGTTTTTAATAAGAAAAAAGCGAGATTAATATGAAGAAAAAGGCAAATAAAACATAACCTAATGTTCATCTGATGATGCACCTGATAAGTCTGATTTCAAAACATTCATTTTTTTTTCTTTCCCTTTCGTCCACGACAAAACAGGTTCACCAACAAGATGAGAAAGAGACTTGATTGTATTAGCTAATGATCTTGTATTTCACGCTAACAAGGGGCAGCATAATTATTATCTAAAATGCCATAAAAAATATTTGACTACAACGTACACAAACGTAACTTATTAATATAGTCGATGCACATTTTTTAATTCACGTCTAATTAGCACTTAAATTGACGAAAGTCTCCTATACTTTCGCCAACTGGCGAAACTCCATGAAGTGTGTTGGCGAAAGTACAGTAGACATTCGCCAATTGGCGATATTCCAGTGTGTCTATTGGCGAAAGTATAGTGGAGTTTCGCCATTGGCGAAAGTGCTATTTGGCGAAAGTTTTATTGGCGAAGATCCGGAATCCCTTACCTACAGGCATTCGACCGTAGCGTGGAGCTTTGGTAGAACACCTGAGTTTTAATCGACCTTCCTCCCTTAACTTTTCCTGTCCTTTTGAATCATTTCAGTGATCGGACACCTTTCGCCGTTCCTCCTAGACATCTCTAGAAAACTGAAACTTTTCGCCAGTAGGTTTACACATTGTTAGTTTCTAAAGCATTTTGCACTTTCTCTCACAAATTCTCATGAAATCAGCAATCATTCACCGTCATCTGGAGAGACGGATTTGTAACCGGTAGTTTTGCTCGAGCTTGTGACACCTTGGTTGGTTTCCAGAAATTTATGCAGTCGCTCCAAAACTTTTCTGTGCGCTCAGAAAGCTGTTGTCGTCGCCAGAGGACATTAGTAGATATCCTGAGCTTTTTTCCCATTATGTTAACACATACTTTGCTTCATTAATTTTTTTTTGTGCATTCCGCAAATGATGTGGGTATGGATCTAAATGGGGCTCGGTGAGTTAGAAGAAGGACGATATGCAGTCACTGATCAAACCACATCCGTGAGACCAAACCTCTTATCGCCGCCCTTGTGTGTTCATATGGGGTTCGAAAACTTTCATGTTCGCCCTAACTGATCGATGAACCGGACAGATCCTTTCGCATCGCGCGTAATTTTCATGTCAATCTATTATTTTGTCGTGTGGTTCGTAATGCTCAACAATCACTCTGGCACATTCATATTTGCTCTGAAAGCTCTTGCTTTACTCTAAGGTATTGATCTTCGACCAAGAGTTTTCTGCCATCAGTGTCGCATATCTGTTGCCGATCCAAAAATTTTTCTCGTTGCTATCCTCAAGGATTATTAGTTGGCTTACAGACTTCCCCACTCACTCTTGCAAACCACTGTGCTACACGAAACTTCTGACCTCTAACTGATACATTAATGCACGACTTGATACTCTTTGTGGTCAACCCTAGCCCAGGTAACCGTTTTTCGATCTTGAACGCGCCCCTGAGCGTCTATGACTTATGCAACTTGACACGTTGAAACGCGTCGAGAATGCAACAATTTCAGGCATATGAACGCATTCAAAAAAGAATGTTTATCATTTGCCACAAATTGCAGTTCCCTAGATTGGTTCCTAAAAAAGATCCCTAAATTCATCCCTACTTGGTCACCAGAATATACGATAGCGTTTCACGTATCCATAAATAGGGATTCGATCCAGGGACTGATTCAGGGAACCACAATTTGTGGCAAATGATAACCTACCTTCAAAAACCACAATGTGTGCAAAATAGTCGATCTTGCACACGAATTACGACGCGTCTTCGGATTTTGCTGCGTCTGAATGCAGTAGGAGATGAACGCGTGGAATTGCGTTTATTTTTCACCCACAAAAAAAATTAAAAAATAACCATCACTCTGTGTCGAAATTGAACCAACGCACCATAGCGAGCTATGATATAACACACAAATCCTATGATCAACAGAATAG